TAGCAGCAAAGGACAAGAATATTATTATTTCAAGCAGCCTGGCTTATACTAATATGTCATTTCATGACAGGTTTACGGTTCAGTTTAGACATCTTAACAAACATTTTAAATCGCGGTAAATTTTCAACGTTGTTTTATAGAAAAGATGAATTCATAACAGTGAAAATTTACCGCGATCTTAATTCTAGACGAAACAGAGTTGAGTAGTYTGTTTGAKCGACAAACACAGGGATCCTGACCAGAAACCAAAGAGTACATATATAGAGGATATTACATGGGCGCGCGGAGATACGGATTTTATCTTCGAGTGTTGAAAAGATCTCTCACGAGTGAGCGTAGCGAGATTTTAAACACGAGAAGAAAAATTTGTATCTCCAAGCGACCATGTAATATTCTGTTTATCATATAATTAAATATGAAAGCAAGTTATGTCTTAAAATACCTTTTTTCTTTCTTCGAATATATAGAGAAACCTCGAATGTGTTATTTTCACTAGTGAAAATAACATGTTATTTTCACTAGTGAAAATATCAATTTTACGTAATGGAGAAATATAAGTATTTCATAGATAATTATATGATAAATATTAGTTTTTGTCCTCTATCTGATTTTAAAGATTGCAATAATTACGTTGAATCTAATATGCCTGTTATATTTTCCCCTGTGAATCTAATATAATTGTGAAARTTCGTTGTTACACCTTGTAGTATACCCACAAAAACTTTACATTGAATAGCGTCATACATCTTTCTAGCAACGATTTGAGTAGTTTCAGTACGCAACGAACGAATTTTTGGAATCAATTTTTGGACTCCGGGTTTAAAGTATCGGATTGCCCGTAAGAAAATTTCAAAAAGAACCCTAAAAGATCCCGGAAGGGCGTGGCTGGCTGATTTTTATCCCCTAAAATATTTGGCTGGGAAAAAATGGGATTGCCCGATGCACTGGGCCTGGGATTTTTAACTCTGACTACTGCATGGGAATGAGAACGAAAACATTGAATGAGAGTGGGATTTATATATTCAATCTATTTCAAAGGACGTAAAAAAATCTAGAAAGATATTAAAAATATTGGCAAAGCAATTTACACAAAAATGAACCATTTATAGTACAGGTTCTAGCTAAAAAAAAAACTTGTGTAGTACAAAAACGACATAACTAAACATAAGGAAGCCTCGAATGTCACAAAATTAGCATTTCAGAAACGTTGATTTATTTATTTATTTTGAAAATTAAATATTTCTATGAGTGTGGGGTACTCCCATATATTTGCTATACGGGGACGTGCCGCTGGCCAGGGTATGGTTTTTGGCCTTGCTATCTTAAACAGGGTA